ATGTATGTACACGATATATAATAAATTAGAGAGTGACCGGCGTGCACGCGCGTGAAGAAGGCAAAACGGAGTTAAGGTCGATTTAAAATCCCGCTCGACCCCGGACGCATCTTCTCGCGTGGATCCGTGCGCGATCTCACCCTCAACGTCCACGAATCCAAGAGCAGCTATACTTAAAAAAGCTAAACGATTTAAGAAAGTCTAACGTTACGAAAGAGAGTTATAATAATAATAATTTATCGACACGACTGATTTACTTAAACGAGAAGGTGAATGCGAGCGAGCGGGGGTGCGCGTGCGAGAGAAAACCAGGGAGTGTACGTGCGTGTGAGTATGTTTGTGCGTGTGTAAAAAGGATTAATGTAATTATTACAATATAGAGTTGATTTAAATTGTAATTATATACGTATTATATATATATATAAAATTATATATATATATATATATATATATATATATTATATATATAATCTTATGTGACACGCAGACACATATGGACACATCTACATGAACATACACACGGAGATATACGCGAGGTATGCCAGGTACTTGTTGTACATACATATACATATAATATGCGTTACTTACTAAGTCTAAGCTCTTAAGCGTAAACGCGAATCGTCGAGAAAGAAGAGACCCTTCACCTTCGTTCCACCCTACAAGTCGCGCGTCGACTATCTTATCCTCCTCCCTTCCCCCCTCCCCCTTCTTGCTCTCCTTCGAAAATCCTTCCTCAAGTTCCATTTTCTACTTTGTACGATAGCACATGTACTATCAGCACACCTTCTCTCACACGCGTCTCTACCTCCTTCCCACCCCTCCCCCCTTCCATCCCCGCTCATCTACCTTCTCCGTCCCCTTTCACCAAAACGTTCTTCTCTGACGAGAATGCTCCTCTCCCCGCCCCCTTCCCCTTTCTCCGCGCGATTTCTCCGCGGAAACGACGAGCAATATTACTTGTAAACGAGTTGCGAGGAATTTAGGGAAAGAGCGTACGTACAAATCGATGCATCTGACCGCGCGAGAGTGTCACATACGAATCCTTTGTGCACGCGTTGTATGCGCGTCGGGCGTCGAACGTTAGCAACGGCGGGTGAACCGGCGATCGCGGGGCTCGCGAGCGGAAGATGCAGGTCGCTCGCATTTCTCAGGGAAAGAGCGAGCGCCATTAAGCGAAAGAACAAACTCCTTTCCGACCGAGAGAGTTCGTCTTACGGATTCTAGGGGTGTCCCGACTGTCGTTAGCGATCCGCCTGGCCGTGTTTCTTCGCCAGTTAGCGTTTTGCCAGTGGAACTTGAATTCCGCCAGAATGCGCGATCCGATGATAAATTTGGCGAAATTTCTGTATATATATATATATATATAGTAAGGGAAAGGAGGGGAAGGGAAAGGACTAATTGAAAAATACTCAATCACGCTCGTTCGTAATTGCGGGACACCCTGCCGACTGGATCAGGACGAGCTGAAAGCGAATCAGCGAGCGATTTCGTTTCCGATCCGATTCACCCCTCCCGCTCCCCTCCTCTCCACCCTGCTCCGATCATTGTACGCTGAAGGAAGGATTCGGCGTGCGTTTGACTGCTCCGCGGAAAAACGGGACGATGCAATTTTCTCGAGATTTTCTTATTATAATTACATCTAGTTTAACGTAATCTTCTCTTTGAGAGTATTCCATGAGTTAGTATAAATCGCCATCTTTCATTACTTCAGGAACACTTTGTTTTGACTCACTATGTTTTTCGGTGGAGCAGCCGCGTTATTCTTCCACGATGTAATTGATACCAAGCGGAGCTACCGGAAGCGGAGATTCGTACAGTCGCGCGTGTCTCAAGTCGCATTACGTTTCTGTAAATTGAACCCCCGCCTCTCCACTTCGGGAGGGACTGAGTAAAAATTGATATTAATATATCCCGACCGAAGGGGTAACTCCCCACTCGGGAACCTTCCCGAAGAGGCGCAAAAATTTGTAAATCGCATTTCTGAAACGAAAAAAGTAAACGATGCTGAAAATCTTCCGCGCCAGCAGCGTCTCGCGATCGTAAATCGCGATCGTAATAAATGAGCGACAATTGGATGATGAAAAGAAAGAAAAAAAATATTCTTATCGGCATTAGGCGAGCCGGCCTACAATTATCTGGAAAAATAAATATTTCTCCCTGGAGAAAATTCTTTCTGAAAATCCGCTTTTGCTCCTGCCATTTGAAAGGGCTGAAACGTCTGAAAGAGGCGGACGAGAGGCCTCTCATTCAAGGGATGATGGCGTCTCGTAGACGTTCCTGATGCGAACGCCATCCTCGCGATCGGTCCAGCATCATCGAGACTCCCACGCACGGGCGAAAGCGGACGCGCGAGCGCTGCCGGCATCGGCGCAGGTGAAGTTTCTTCTCCTTTTCTCCCCCCCCCCCTTTTAATTTTCCTTCTTTCGCGATCACGCCGACGCGTAGCTCGCGATCGGACACGCGTATCTCGTGAAGTGCCTAAAAACCGCCGAAGGGAGAA